CAGGCCGGATGATATTTAATGCAGGCCAGATGATATGCTAATGCAGGCCAAATAATCTCATATTAAAAATCCCGCGCAGGATCCAAAAAAAAAACCGCGCATCTCACGCGTGGTCCATCTCTAGCTGTAATGCATAGTTAGTGTGTGATTGGGAATTTATCATTGCAAATCCATGTAACATACAAAATTGGATTAAAAAAAATACAATTTACATCTTTTCTTAACTAACTTTAAAAATTTATTAATTAAAATTTCACTATATAAATTACCCTATATTATCAATATTTGAGTACATATAGATGTACTTCTGTAGGAGTGCGTGAGAAAGTTTCTCTGTATATCTTTTCTCTCATATTATGAATAAGGTTGAAATGAAATTTTGCACCTTCTAAACTATAATACTGCTTGATTCAGCTTGTATTTCATGCACTATCATGTATATTCAAATAAATCACTTTCAACAATTGGTCCACTCAACATCTACACAACTCATCTCTGATTTGAATTATCATATTCAAAAAGGAGAGTGTTTCTGAACAGGTTTCACTGTTTTTCTTCATCTGACAATTAGTTTTCTAAAGCTATAATCAATTAAAAAATATGATGAATTAATAGCATGAGCTGATAAGTATTGTAAATAAATTTATTCACTTATATTCTAACAAAGATAATAGTTCTTTTTTCACCAATGAATGAAATTTTAATAATATTGTTCTCATCAGTACTAAATGTTTCAGGATAAAATTCTTTAATGCTAGAGTTATCCATAAGGTGCTAAATAAAATTTTTTACAACATTCTGATTTATAATAATTATATTAAATAAATTTTATATCTGATATGTTTCTGGTAAAAGTCCTTTGCTACTGATGGGTAAAACAAACATCAATTGTTCAAAAGATTTATAATAATTTCAGTCTTCGAAATAATTGAAATTTGCTTCATTAATTTCAAAGTCTTACAAATCTGAAATCAGATTACTAAATTATAATTATACTATATCGATATTATTCTTTATTAATCTGGGACTTGCCTGATATAAGTGCCAAATAATATTCAGGATAAAACCATCTATAAGATTTTAGTGTTCCTTCATAATAAGAAAGCACCTAATGTAACCCTTTAATGTATGATCTAATTAATTTTTCTCAATATTGATTATTCATTTTGATTAGCATATTATTATGATAATACTCTTCCTTCTATTTAAGAAAATTCTTTTCGTCATTATTGCTTTTTGTTCCAATAGCATTACTCTTTTTAACAAAACACAATTTCTTAAAAATCATTTTAAGTCTTTCCATGTTCAATGTTCCAGAAATCATTATATAGCTACCTGTAAATAATATATATTTAATATATATATATATTAATAGATACAAGTCATTCTAATACTCTATAAATTTCTTATCACATTCTTTTAACATCTCTTTATAAATTAAAATAACAGCATCAAGTCCATTATTATTAATTTTAACATCTGATAATGGTGGTATAAGGTCATTGCTGGTAAAAAATACTAATAAAATAAAATCTTTTATTATACTTTCAATATTAAATTCAAAAGACAGTAGATTAGGTTTCCAAAGTTCAGAAAATTCTTTTTCTATATCTCCATGTAAGGTTTTTAAAAATTTTATCTCGAGTACCCTTAATTTAGGACTTTCTCTAAAAATTTTCATAGTAAACAATTATATATATATTTATATTAATTAGTACAAACCAATTATTTAATATAACATAGTCAGATTTAAACAAAGAGAATTCTTTGCTACTAAGAATTTTAAGATTTTTTTTATAATGCAGTAACTCTAACAAAATTAAATCTGAATCTCTCCTATATACGCAATCATTTTCTGATTTTGAATGACAGATATATTTCATAATTTTATATTCTCCTTCACCTGGTATGTCATGACCAGAGTATATAATTTTTATGTTTCTTCATTTATCATCATTAGTGATTTTATCACGAATAAAATTTTTAATATATTTAGAAAGATCCTCCATAAACTTTGTTCCTAATAATTAATAATATAAGATAATCAAATCTTATTTCTTTAAATTATATATAATTGTATATCTGGTGTAATTGAATTTTTATCAAACACACTGTTTGACAATTTATAAGTATTTTTAAATCATCTATTAGTTGTTCATTTATCTTTGATCTCAGAGCAACTCCTATTTTATAAACAGATATAATTCCATAATTTTGACAATTAAATTTAAAAGAAAATCATACAATTAAAATAAAATACCATCTAATACAATAAAAATCAATTTTTTTGGTTTAACCATTAAAGCTAATTTGTCAACATATGCACATATAGCTTCAAAGTTTTTATCTTCCATATTTTTATTCAAGTTTTCATGGATAATCTCATTCATTTCGATATAAAACTTATTTATAATAATTTTAAAACTTTAAATAAAGAATAAAAAAATAAAAATCTTAATATAAAATAACTTAAAAATCAAAATATAATTAAATTGATATACACTTCTTTTCTGAGGATGGGAACAACAAAATTATACCATTCCCTAATAAAATATGTAAATTATTTTTTAAATTTTCATATTCTATCAATAAGATAACAAAATAGTCTTTTGATTGATATAGCAAACCTTATCTATTTTGAAAAATCTTGAACTCCCATTATTGAAAAAATTTGTGTCGAAAAGAATGTGTATATCAATATTTATACATTTATGTACATATTATGGATAAACCTAACATTGTTATTGTTTTCTAATATAGTGTTGTAATTGAAAAATTGTGCCTGATCGATCCACAATTCAAAATCTCATATAACCAATAATAAGTGACTTTTACAAAAGAGGATGATAGATTTAGATGGTATGTGATTAAGACTTTTGGTTACTTGGGTTCAACAAAGGTCAGTAGGGTAAATCATGTGATCATAAAATTGAATGAACAATGATTTTATATGAAGTTTATATAGTTTACAATGGGTATAGTGTTAATGTATTTTATTAAGAATGATGTATAATATTGTGACTTATTATTTAATAAAGCAAATGTGACATAATATTTCATGAGGCAATAATGCCTTTTATTTATAATAAATTTTAATTACAACTTATTTTATTGCATCAATTTTACTTCCATCTTAATCTGACCTTCTAATTTATTTATCTAAACTTTTATAATTATAAAATCCTTTTTCACCTTATATTTCCTTTTCTTGATATATTTAATAAATCAAGTTAATGCAATTAATTGCTGAAATGTTTATATTTAGTAATTTATTGTCTTACCCACTTTTATATAATACTTTGACAACTTATTTACATTATATTATTGGGTTTAATGATAATATGAGCTATAAGATAATAACACTAAAAGTCTTGAAAAAAGGTAATGATGACAGATTACCCAATCATATGCTGAGAATCGCACACGCATATTAACTTGCCTGTAAACCATACACTACGTACTTCGTACTCCGTTCCTGGTATAGTAATGCATTATTTCCCTATATAAATCTTATTCAAGAATGATGAATACTTTTATTAAGAATAAACTAATAAATTATAGCCAATCAAATCTCACTATTTATCATGTGATAGTTTTCGGAAATTGAAACTTTTAAGAGTTTTTGAAATAAAAATAGAATAATTGATTTTCTTGAGATTAAAATTTTATGACTTGATAGTGGAAGCATTCCCGTCCCTGATCTTATTATAGCACTGAAATCATAATAAATGAATGAATGCTGCACAATTAAAATATGCAAATCTTGTTTTCCAATTTACAGAAACGGGCCTATCAAACACATGATTGAATATTATACCAGTGTTGTAAATTTTAGCTTCCAGTGGGAATTTCTAGCCTTCCAGTAGAAATTTTTAATAGTAAAAGTTCCGGTGGTATTATTGATTTTTGCTTCCAGTGTTTCCAGTTAACAACGGTGTATTATACAATTAAATAGAATTTATACATCATTTATCAAATGTCTGATCAACCGTTTCTGTAAAAGTGAAATTTCCGAAAATAAAGATTTGAATGTTTTCGGCACTCAAATGATCTACATTCGCCCTACTCTTAATTCCGATGGCTGACGTAAAAGAGATGTGTGAACCTGACGATAAATTAGGGAACTCGGATTTTACATGATTAGTAGAATTTATTAATAAAAGAATTTATGTTTATGTATTCTTTATTTAGAGACGATTTCAGAAAGTGCAACCCCTTAAATACATTCTAATTTCTTAATGCATTACACAAATATTATAATGTCTCGCTACTAATTCTGATTTAGACATGCTTTCCCCAAGTATCAAGTTGTATATGCGACTAGGGAAGATTCATATGATTAAGCACTAAAAATACATAAGAATGCCTAATACTATAAAGTAAGACTGAATGACAAGACAAATTTGGAAGTAAGATTCATAAAGAACAATTCTCCGTTACGATAGTTGCACCCAGGGTAAATGTATACCGAATAAGGCAGTTATTGTGGTAATTGTGTCCCCTCCACTCATTATCGCAATCACTAGTTCTTTAAAGCCCCAACCTCCCGAAATTCCTGATACTGGGTTTCTTTGTAAAAATATTTCAGATGATACTATCGACCCTATTATTGTTGGCAGTAATAAAATTATTAAGATACAGAATTTGGTCACATATATAAGGCACTTATCTTCGTCATCTTCGTCATCTTCGTCATCATTGTCACCTTCCTCTTCCATATCAATTGCTAAACTAATAAGGTTACAAAGCATAACACTATAGATTACGAGATTTATACTAAACAATGCTAACATGAAGTCTCGCCACCAGCCAGTTGGATCTAGTGGGATAACAAAAAAAAACATTCTCACAGCGCTACTACACTCTTGATGTGCTAAATTCCATTTAATCGTTGTCCATAGCCATATGCTATAACATGTTATTAACAAGCCAACTAACATAGCTAGCAGTTCAATTGCTACGATTAATTTCTTTATATGCATAATCCTATATAAACTAAAAATTGTATAATATACTGTAACCAATAATGCAGATGATAAATAAGTTACTTCTAATTGAAAGACATAATGTAAGTCATTATTAATGTGCTGAATTATAGCTGCTACGATTAATACTGAAGAAGTTACTAATCCACAAAAAGCTGATAAGGCAATTTTACGTTGCTTTTTTACAAAAATCTTAAAAGCAATTAATAAACATTGGGCATAAATTGCTACTCTAATTTTTGGTCCCACTATATCACCACCTTCAATTGTGCAACTTTGCCCGCTTGGAATATATGAATCAACCCATTTGTATTGATTATTAGAGATGTTAAGGATGCTTACTGTGTTGATTAAGTTGGTACCAATTATGCCTAAATAAATATAATTTACATTTAATATCTGCATCTAGGAAGGTGAAGGCAAAAATGACGCAATAATACTGTATAAATTAAAGAGATTGATTGTTCTTACCAAACGTAAAAAATATATAATCATTATAAAGAGTGGCAGCATGTGAATTCGGATATTGAGCTGGTGGATTTCCAGAAGGAAAAACGGTTGTCCAAGTAAAATTTGTGAGATTTAAGATGGAAATACCAACTATCATATTAGTATTATTAGATACGCCACCGAATACTATTATACTTTTGCCATCAGTTGCAAGCGTTGCTGTATGAGACCACCGACCAGAAGTCGAACCGTTTAATGTTGTTTTCTGTAACGGAAAATTTCGTGATTGAATCTTTTATAAAAGGTTATTAATACTGTATATAATAAACTATACCTGTGACCATAGACCAGAGATTGTATCATAAATATCAACCTTTAGAAATATTAATTATTAAGATGTTTCATTTGTGCGGATATTATTTTGATTATGGTGCAAACATTCTAAAAGACATCTAAAATTACTGCTTCTTTTAATGAATAAATATAAATTCGTAAAAACAAAAAAGAAAAAGAAAAGGAAAGGTAATTCTGTAGTTGTAGAAAAGGTTTACCAAGGTATGTATTTTATTTTACTAATTTATGCTTATTCATTGGGAGTAGGGATTTATAAAAAATTATTAGGCAATTCTAGTGTTTGTTTCTCACAAATAATAATGTCGCCATGGCAATGATTATATGTTCATAGCTAATTTGTTATTAGACAATACGTATTATCGCTATATATTCTCCACAGATAATAAATAGCCTTTGAATAGCATAAAGTGGTACAAATTTGATGTGACTAAAATGTTTGCACCATACTGTATAATAAATGACTTACTTGTGACATATTAGGATTAAATGCACCACCAATCATTATTATTCGTCCGTCAGGCACTAGTGTCGCTGTGTGAAATTGACGGCCCATAGGTTGTGTAGGCGACTTATTGGCAACCCAGAAATAGTTTTTAAGATCAAGTATGTACATTGTTCCATCAGTATTAAGGTAACTAAGTCTTTAAATTTTGTTATAAATTTTGTCATTTTTGGATTACTAGACATACGAATGACATATTAAACGATACGTACGCTGCACTTGAGGTGCCACCCCAAACATACATTTTCGTTTTGTTAGAATCAATTACAGCAGTCATCCATTTTCTTGGAGATGGCCATGAATTAGCGTTTGTAACATTTGAACTATTCGTTAAAATGGTAACATACGGATTAGATGTTGTTTCATCAATGATTAGGAGATTATTTGTGTTTCCTATCTTCATAAAAAATTCAAAAATTTATGAAATTTAATACATATTTCTTAAATTTTTATAATGAGATTTAATTATTACCTGATCATAACCACCTAAAGCGATTATCATGTTTCCATTAACAACTGCTTTATATCCTCCTCTCTGTTTAAGATTAGCTTGTAATGTAAATGGCGGATTGGTAGCTTGAAAGGAATTGGACAGATCAATATAAAAAATATCATTCAATACAGATAAATTCCATCCACCATAAAAATATATCTTGTTTGATATTATTAAGGCTTCCATATCTGTTCTTCCGACAGGATTGTAGCCCACAGCACATTTAGTGAACAATATCAAAGATAAAAGAATCGAGATAATAATTAAGCGCATTTTGATATTTTTGGTGTTTATGGATTTGCACTGCATAAATGAGGAGAAGCCATCTTATTATTTTTTCAAAGTTCTTTAACATATGAAATTGCGAGAATTAACTTATTAAAAATTTACCAAGTTCTTTATGAGTATTTGGTTATTACTCAACAAACCTTTTATCTCATTTTTATATAGCACTAAAATCAAAAACTTATGTCAATTATTTTCTTTGTATCTCTCAAATATTTGAGTCGTGCACAATCATAAATACATAATATTAATAAAAAGAATAACAATATTCTAATTAAATTTGTAATATAAATATGGTTTCGTTTCATATTACTATTTTTGTATATTCATTTCATCTTTCAAGAAGTACAGTCAGAAATTTTCAAGTGTAACGCAGACCATTTCTCTTTTTAGTGAAAGATCTTCAATTGGAAAATTCTTTTTTAATTCTATAATACAAATTCTGTACCCCCTAGTGGATCTCTAGACTACATGCTTAGAGAATAACTTTTGCGAAAAAAGTTTAAAGATTTTTTTTAAATTTATTATTTTTTTTTAGATATCAAAAGACACTTTTTTAAAAAGATAGTAATCGATTTTAACAGATCAATTGATATATCCCTGACTGAAATGATTTTCATTTTACCCTTTTTAACACCCAGTTAGTGCAAAGGACAATATAACACGTAAGAGCTATTGGATCATTGTAGTATTATTTGATTATCTAAAATTAGGTCATAAATACGTTTTGCGTAAATGATTATAAACAAAAAAACCATGTTTTTTATTAACGATCATCACTCCTTTTAAGTTCATCACTCCTTTTAAAGTAATTCATTAATCAAGTCGTAACGGTAACCCGTATTACTGTATTAACCGCCTGATGTGTCACAAAATTAACCGGTCAAATGCAATTTACCATTATTAATAGTATGCTACATTCTTGTTAAACCGATAGAGAATACAAGCTAGTAACTCGTATCTCAAAATGTGAAGTATAAATGCAGAAATCCACGTTTTTACTACAATTAGTACACTGCCCAATTAGATTTTGCGGACGTACACATTGTGAGCCTCGAAATCGGTCACGGCCTCACGTGACCGATCGTCGAAATTAGGTCCCGTCGCCTACCCGAGTAACT